TACCTACCGGCCAGTGGCCGACACTCACCTTATTTCTCGACCCGATGGCGTCCTTTTACTATCGATCGTGAGGTGTTTTTGGCATTGTCTCACTGTGAAGGCAGTACGCTAATCAGTGCTCTCTACTCGAACTCATGCAGCTATGTAAAAGCTTACAGAGTTTTCATGTGAATTGACGACAACTAGTGGTATCTGCTAGGGATGGCTACTGTCACAATTCTCGCTCGACGTTGTCGTAGACGCAATAATGGAGATAGAATTAGGTGCATCTGAGTTCAGTGAAATGAACCTACCCCCTGGAAGTCATCTGGTTGACGTGGAGTATGCAGACGATATTGTCGCGCTAGGTGAAGACTGAGAAAATGGTGAGTCTTTTAAATACGCTTAGCAGAAGTCTGAGTATGTTTTTGGCACGCGTCTCGCACCTGTGCCTTCTTGGATTACTCATCGGCCTTTGACTCTGTGTTCCCAGATCACTTCTGTTAAAGAAGCTTGCCATAACTCATACTGCGTCAGGGGTTACAAAGTGGCTGCATTTTTACTTTTCTGGAAGGAAACAACACACTGTTTATAAAGTGAAGCGCTCCACTTCGTTACTTACTAAGGCTGGTGTGCCTCAAGGTGCAGTACTTTCTTGGTTTTAGTTTTCGTTCTTTTTGCATGACTTACCTTATTCTGTTGGAAATAATTTAATTAAGTATGCTAAGGACCTGATGGTTTCTATTTCAGTTAACTCTCGTTTAGATTGCTATGAATTAAATGGTTTCTTTTCTAAAATTGACTAGTGGTTTCTCTCAAATGGTCTCAAGCTAAGCCCTATTTAAATGTCAGCTTGTTAATTTTGGCCTCAGGTGTATACAAGACTTGTGTGAGCTGCATAAGTCTCATGACACCCGTTGCATTGATGGCATTTCTGCAGAAAGTAAATCCAGTGTTAACCATCATCGATTGGGTTTTACTTCTGATCTCTGTTGGTCGTCTCATATCCAACTGACTCATGAAAAAATCTTTCGTTTACGTATTACATAAAGGAACTGAGGCTTTCTGGCATAACTTCACTTCTACTTGTACAATTTAATAATTTCTGCATTTACTTATTCTTGTCTATTGTTTCTCGTTGATTTTTCCTGATCTACTGAAAAAAATAACTATGTTACATTGCGTCATCATCATCATCATTATCAACATAGGACCAGGAATTACTGCGTAACGGTCCGAGTTGCCACACCTCATATCAGTATATCAAGTAAAAAGGCAGTGAGGCGCAAGATGAAGATGAGAAAATTCAGTCAAAAGAAATATAAAGTACGAAGAGAGAGAATGAGAAAATGAGAAAAGCCAACAGTCGAAGACTTCATACATTTGGTGCCATGTTTTGGTCTGGCCACCTCGGGCCTTTTTCCAGCCTGGACCTACTTCGGCCAACATTGTGTGACGAGATAATCGGTGACTAGGCATACGTAGTACGTGTCCCAACCATCTCAGTCGATGAAGGTTCACAACCGTGTCAACTGACTTACCTCTTCTCCCCAACACTCTACTCCTGACTTCTGCGTTACTCACATGGTGACACCACGGAATACGTCCTATACTACGAAGGCAACGGTGGTCAAACACTTGAAGCCTTCTCATATCTTCCACTTTCAATGGCCATGTTTCACAGCCATACAGTAGAACAGAGCGGACTGCTGTGCAGTACACGCGACCCTTAATAGACAAACGAATATCACGGCGGCGCCATAGGTGGCGCAAATTGGCAAAAGCCAATCGAGCCTTTTGTATCCGTGCAGAAATCTCATCGGCAACTGACCCACCAGGATTGATCCTACTTCCCAGGTAAGTGAAGTGGTCAACACACTCAACCACTTCACTCTCTATTGTTAACCGCGGTGGGGCACCGCTGAAGACCAGTCCTGGAGCAAAAATTTGCATTTGGGTGGTGAAAATCGCATCCCAAACATTCTCAAATTCCCACTCAAAGTGTTCAGAAGACTCTGCATCTTGTCAGCGTCTTCACCTAACAGGACTATGTCATCTGCATATTCTAGATCTAAAGAAAATTCACCTGTGATTGGGTCAACGTCTGTGTAATTAGGTGACGAGAGGGAAACCTCCATAAGAATATCTATGATAAAATTAAATAAGAATGGGGATAGTGCGCATCCTTGACGGACACCACTTGATGAGTATAGCTCCCTGGACAACTCGCCATAGGCTCTAACACACCCACAAGTGTTCGAGTAGAGAGCTTTCAATAAGGTGATGTACTTACTAGGCACGCCTTTCAGTGACAGACACTGCCATAAGACTTCTCGATCAACGGAGTCAAATGCCGCCTTCAGGTCGAGAAATACAGCTATTGTCGGGCGTCTGTAAGCATGCCTATGTTCCAGGACCTGGCGCAGTGTGAATATTTGGTCGATACATCCACGGCCAGGTCTAAAGCCTGCCTGGTTTTCTCGGGCTTGCTGTTCCCGAGCTCCACTCAGGCGTCGGAGAATTATAGAACTTAGGATCTTAGACATTATGTTCGTCAAGCTGATTCCTCTGTGGTTATCACAAGAGGACTTCTCGCCTTTCTTGAAGACTGGGATAATGAGTGACTTAGACCAGTCGGAGGGGATCGTATTTGATTCCCATATACTGGCTAACACTTCCGTTAGCCTGACTAAGAGCACTCTACCACCATTCTTGTATACCTCAGCAGGTAGTCCGTCTGGTCCTGCTGCCCTTCCTCGTTTCAGGCTACCTACCGCTTTCTCAACTTCTTCTAGTGTTGGGGGACCTGTCTCTATGTCCCATTCAGGATCCGACTGGATAGCGGGCAACGCAATCGTGGCTGGAGGCCAGTTAAACTGTTCCTCAAAGTGTTCTGCCCATCGTCCTAGTCGCCTTCCCTGCGAGTGAATCGCAGATCCGTCCTTCTCCGCTATAGCCTCACTAACTGTTGTTGACCATTTCCCCCCAGTCTCCTTAATAAGTCTAAATAACTGTCTACTGTTACCGATCGCCGCTGCCTTTTCCATCTCTTTAGCCTTCGCTGCCCACCACTGTTCACGATCGTTGGTTACATTGCGTACGGCTTTGAAAGCCGTCAGCAGGGTAAGTGCTGTGCCTCCGGCCCAACTGATTAACACTGTAGTTGACAGACATTTAAATTCTAGCTACAGTAATTTTAACTGACATTGAGCATCCCACTTCAATCACAGCTCTTTCTTTGTATCCCCTCAGGGAGGACAAGAAGAAATTACCTAAGACTAGACACCCGTACAGTAAAGTACAAGAATTCGACTATACCTTAACTTGCATGCATATTATGTGGGGGGAAATGTGTTAGAACAGAGCTCACATGTCAATTTTGTGACACTTAACAATCTCATTTCCACAACTTAATTAACAATGTAAAATGTTCTTGTTTTTAATATTCCTTACACATACTTTTTGTTATTGTTTCAGTATATCATGCTGAGAATCCCAAACTATACCAAAAGTTGTTTGTAATAAGGTTATTATTATTATATTTGAAACTTGTATCATCTGTGGAGCCGCTTAGCGAGATGTCCGACTATCTATCAAAGGATGAGTATGCTGTGCTGCAGCCAGTTCTTTCCTGTTGTACGGCTGAGACATGGCCGCTGAAAGTATAAGACATGAAGCAATTACAGGGTTTTCATCACAAATGTCGCATTTGGTAGAATCAACATGTGAGGAATGTCGAGGTCACGTAAGAGTACTAGACAAGACAGGCAAATCGATTATTAGAGTTGTGAACCTTGATCAACTGAGATGGCTTAGACATGTACTGCGCATACCGTGAGATCGCCTTCCTCGATGTGCCATGTCGGAAGAAGTTAACTGGGTTGGTAGAGGGTCCAGGGTGGGCAGACCAAGACTTGGCACCAGTCCATGGAGTCTCTTAATGTTGGTGTGAGTTGTGTGGGGCAAGGTAGGCTGCCTGATTGGGGTCGCCAAGAGGAAAGGAATCAATGTTTGAGGACTCTTCATGACATGGCTGAAATTCGGTCACAGTGGTGCAGATGTATTCAATTCTTTGACGTCCTCTGAAGCTTTAATATTTGCATTAACCTTTATTTTCAGATTGTCTATTCTCCCACACTAATTTATCTTCTTTGATATCACTCTTTTTTATCTACATGTTCTTTTTGAACTACTGTAAAGTGTAGCAACTCGACCTGATGCATTTGTGTGCGAGGTTTAACGTTGATTTTGTGAAACAATTGCTGAAGCAATTGAGTAATTCTTGGTAAGTTAATAAATGTAAAGATAGTTTTGATCACAGGGAAACACCGGGTAGAGAACTATTGTATATTAAACCTATGTATCATTCTGGTTACAGACTTCCCAATCTTGCGTACCTACACCACATAGGATATGGAAACCATAAATTTCGAGCTTCACAGTGAGTGTTTTGCATTAAGCAACTTTTGGAATTTATTACTGGCAGCAGTAACCTCGAAAATCAGTGTAAATGAAATTGAAAGAATAAAGGGTCCATGAACATTCCTGGTTATAGATTTGTTGGTGAAGTTAAGAAAGAACACAACAACACAATATAGTATGATTAAGTTAAGGCGTCGTCAAGTTCCTATGTTTTAACAGTTGGTTGGCACACAAGGACTGGCTAATAAAAACATCTTAATCCTGTTCAGCCCCTCTTCAAGGGGGCGGAAACCGGATAATGAAGGATTCAGATACCTCGGTCTACAACAATGTAGAAAAAGAGACATGATGTAAGATGAAACTTCCCTTTTAGTTTAGTCTTTTACCAAGTCGACATAGAAATATTGCAAAACATTGAGGAGAATGCTTATAACTTGCAGGCATAGAGTGGTTATGTGGTATTCGAGTCCCAGAAGTTTAATGATCAGTGGATTAATTGTTTATGAACTGTGTGGTCCTCCTTCACAATGTCTCAGAAAAACACACCTCCATCTTAACAGAAATAATCTTTAAAGAACAGATAAGATTATGCAACCTACCTTCCGATCAACATTTCAGTATTTGTATGTATAATCAAACCAGCGACTACAGCCAGGATTGCACTGACACATATCCCTCCGATTGCATCAGGTAAAACATGCCCAGTGTAAGCAGTTATGGCCATAGCAGATCCTGCCACCATAACACCAATAACTGCAGCGAAATCTTCAAGTAAAACCATGCTGGTACTAGGGTCAACTCCAGAAAATAACCAGTGTCTAACAGAATCAAAGTTTAAACGTTTGGCACTTCTTAGAGCTTCGCGATATGCAAATGCTAGAGTGCCTTGATAAAAGAATCAGTAAAAACATTGATGGAAGAATTTTTTAGAGAAATACATCACAAGAACGGGAATTAGATCAAAATAAGATAGAAATGGTCCAAATAAAATAGACTCCACTCGAAGTAGTATCATGAACTTTTCAAAATAGTCAACCTATCCCCAATAACAATAGTGATCACTCACTCCACATGTTGAAACTGGTCCTTTTTGTTTACCTTGATGTCCCTTTTCTTCGATCCACTTCATCATCGCGACCTGGTTGAACCTTGGACTTAGCCCACCAGATACATTGCACCAAATTATTTGCTTTCCGTTTGTTTTAATATTTCAAACATGTCAATCACAAGTATCGTGTACTCTTGTGCCGTTTTCGAGTTAGTAATAAAACGAAAGAAAAAATGTCACGTCACGTCAGAAACGGACCTTTAAGAGCAGAGACATAGCACGAACATCGAATTCTTGTACTGGTTGAATAATCCTTCATCACAAAAATTGTGCACGATTTCCTGTTTATTCATTATTATAAACTGGACGTTAATCTCACACCAGTTGGCAGTTTTACATTATTGCCTTTAATACTGTTATTATTAACGTCATTTAGATGCAATAATCACTTCCTTTGAAAATACTGTTATGTGAGTGAATATTTTAAAACATTACACACTCAGAATTTCAAACTATATCGAATATATTGTTTGGAATAAAGCGATTATTATTACTATTGTTCGCTTTTGTGACGTTTGAGGTGGCGCACTTGTGTACAAGGTTCTAAATTGATCTGTGATGTACCAGGTCGCTTACCCACCTCAGTTTGATCAGTTACATATTACCACAAAGCCACATTGCCCATCTGAGTTTTGAGACGCTAATGAAACTTATGAAAGCTTGGAAGCTAGTGAAGCCTCCATCCATCCGAATCAACATAGGACCAGACTTTACTGCGTAACGATCCAAGTTGCAACACCTCATATCATTACATCAAGTAAAAAGGCAGTCAACTGCAAGATGAAGATAAGAAAATTCAGTCACAAGAAATGTAAAGTACTCAAAGAGAGAAATGAAAAAACGAGGAAATAGTGAGATTCAGAATAGCGTTTAGATGAGGATAATGTGTGCATACATCTGCACCACTGACTTCGTTCTGAGTCATATCACCTATAGTCTCCAACCAATGGTTTCACTTATCCCACGGACCAGACAACCGGCTAGTCTGCATAGCTCCACATAGCTCAAAGCAGCAGTCAAACACTTCATGCATTGGTGCCATGTTTTGGTCTGGCCACTTCGGGCCTTTTTCAGTCCGGACCTGCTTCGGCCAACAATGTGTGAAGAGGCAGACGGCGACTAGGCATACGTAACACGTGAAACCTTTTGGTTATTGTGTTTAGTAGAATCAAATTCACTAGTAAATAGAGTATTGTGAATCATGGTGCCTGATACACAAAATCAAGGAGTCATATGAACTGAACTTTGCATTATATGTTCTAGTTGTAGAAATAGTAAATATCAAGGCATGTTGTAATAAGCAAAGAATATGTAAAGAATCACTACCATATCTTATATTTCTTTTTAACTACATCTTATAAATTCGGAACTTTGTAAGGGTTTATTGATTTCAAGGGAGTATTCACCACGTACGGACATTAGTTGGCGAACCATTGAAAACCTGGGAGCACTGGACATCTGTTTTGTCCCAATATGCGACTCCTCAGCGACGCGCACCCCTGACACTTAAAATGTACATGAAGTAGTAAAAGCGTGAAGAGATAAGAAAAAAGCATACTACGTAACGACCCAAACTGAACAGCGTATTTCCCAAACATTCTAGGATGAAATATAATGTAACTCACTTCCTTCGGAGAGAAGTGAGCCCAGCATTACCATTAAAGCCTGTGAAAGGAAAACAACAAAAACAAATCAAATAAGCTTCACTGAAAATGTTAGTGAGCGATTGCAAACCAAAAGATGGATAACTATTGGCTAATATTTTAGTGAAGCTTATTAATTATGCAAATTTTAGTGAGTGAAGCATAACTCGGGTGGACTATACTATATCTGTCGTTCAAGGGGTGGGTACTGTGACGCAGTGCCCTAAAGAATAATTCTGGCATTCAAAGCGATTGGTCCTGGGTTCAAATCTTAGTTGGGACAACTTCAATTATTAGGAGGTAGGTACACCCAGCTGACGAGCCCCAAGTAAGGCGAAACGCACCTCCTGGATTCTACTACCAACCACTATCCACCATTACTGGTTTAGGTGGTTGGGTAGATACACCAAGAATCTACTAATTAATATAGTGAAAGGAAACAAGGGGGGGGGGGTTGAGAATCCAGCAAGTTTAACAAAAGGTCCAGCTAAAAGATGTTTCAAAGAATTTAGTCTTAGGTTGTCCATCTTTTTTCTGTGATAATGAGTTTGTATAAAAACACTGCTAAAATACACCATCCACATTCGGATTCTCCATAATAATGTATGGCTGTACACACTAATGGAAAACGTGTTTAGAAGCAAAATGAAACTACAAAGAGAGTCTTTGAAGTTTGAGACAATGATGTTGAAAACCATGCTCATACGCTGACAGTGGCTAACAGTGAAACAATTCATTTGGTTAACTGAGAAATAATACGACACTGTTTAATTTTCAAAAATAAACAGTACCGAGTTCATGACTATGAAAGTAACTGGTAGAAAAAGATGTATGTTGACGAAATAATACGAATTTATAACATTTGTAAAAGGTGAAATATAGTGATCATCAAGAAGCAACCAGAGTAGAGGTTTCTATTCATATCATAATTATTAGTTACTTCAATCTACGCAATTAAATAGAAAATCGTTGCAGATTGAAAATGTAACAGCATAACAATCATTGAATTGCCAAGAAACGAAGGGGGTTAACGTGGTCAGCACATGGCAGATAAAAGTTATGGTCAGCAGTTAGAACACCAAAATAATTATTTACAATTCTGATCACAAGCAGAGACATGTGACAACTGTGGGAAGTATAGCTTTGTGTACACCGGAAATATCTTAAAATTACGAAGACTGTATGTAAGGAAGCAGGATATGTAAACTCAGGAATTCACTTCAGTACAAGCGACGTATACAAAGAAGTATAGCTTGGAATCGTTCGAGGAAGAGCAAGAACTTACAAATTGTGAATACACACCCACTTGGTTGTAGACTGAGTGATATTAGATATATGGGATTCACGTAGGAAAGCAGATAGATCAAAACTATATTGGCCGTAACCAGCGTAAAAATCATTAAAATCAGAGGGGAACAAGGCGATTCATAATCTAGTCTAATTTTTAACGGTAGGCATCTGCAGATGATGAGGTCAGCAAGTCAATATCACCGTAGGATCTGGCGTTAATGCGTAACGGTATAAGTTGCTACACCTACCTCATTTAAGCATATCAAGTGCGAAGGCATTACGAAGAAGGATAAAGAAATAAGGAAGGAGGTATTAAAAGGTTTTAGAAGATCTTGAAAAGAGTATAAGAAGGAATGAGACAGCAGTGAAATTCAGCATAACGATTAAGTTAAAGATAATATGTAGGTAGATTTTCGCCAATGACATCGATTCTGAGTTATATCAACTGTAGTTTTCAACTGCCTATTTCGGTTGTCACGAGGACCCCAATCAGAAAGTCAACATCTCTGTACACGGTTAAGATCAAAAATCACCGTTTACACCCTTCCCTAATTCATTAATTCAGTAACATAAAATTTGTACCTGCACTAGCTGTCAGACAATATAACAATATAACAAAAGGTATTTGACAGTTAGGTCAAGACCTCTTTGCCAAAATCCGAATACCGACTTCACGAGTGCCAAATTGGACACACGTAAATCACGCCGATCACTGGTCCACAACCGCCAACACATTGAATTAAAAACAATAAAACATCAGCCACGAAAACTCACATGATAAGTTACTTACCAAATTGACAGATTCAAATGCATGTGGTTGTAAGACACCTTGTACACTGTGGTAGAACGTGAGACCAGCGCCAAGGAAGAAAATTGCAACACCACTGATCAGAGACGACACATTACGCATCGGGATATAACCATACCTATAGGAAAGAAATAAACACATGATATGAATATACGATGTAGGTTTAAGATTTTGGTCGGTCAGTCAGTCAGCATCAAAGTGAGACCTATCACTAAAGCCTGACGGTGCAAATTGCCGCTGCTCAAATAAGCATGTCAAGCACAAAGTCAGTAAGATGAAGAATGGACACAGGACAAGATTAACGTGGAAAATCGCACACAAACGCATCGGTTCAATTTGCTACACTTCACAGAAGTACACAAAGGAAAAACAAAAAGGAAATGAGTGATATCGAAGTAGACAAAGTGGTGTGAGCAAATAAACAACTTGAAAATAAAGGTTGGTGTGAATATTCAAGTTTTAGAAGACGTTAAAGATTGAATACATCTGCACCATTGTGACCGATTTTCAGCCATTTCATCAAAAGTTCTCAATCACTGATTTCCATCGTCTTCAACAAACACCAAACTAAGCAGTCTATATCGCCCCTACACGACTCAGACCTCAACGACTAGTGCCACGTCCTCACCTGGCCACCCTGAACTCTCTGCTAACTTAATCCAGCTCTGTCTAGCATGGTACATTAGGGAAGTCGGTCACACAGCATTCGCAGTACATGTCCAGGCTACATCAGATGAATGAAGTTCACAACCTTGCCAGTAGACCTGAATGTCTTGCCTAGTACCCTTCACCTGACCCTAACATTGCTCACACGGTGATTCCATCATACGCAAGAAAAGCTACGGAGACGTCCATGAGCTAAACCCCAAGAACGCTTCCTGCCTTCTACTTCTAACGGCCATATCAGTCGTACACTGGGACAGAACCGACTGCAGCACAGTATACGCATCCTTCGATAGGTAGTCGGCACCACAGATGACGCAAGTTGGCAAATGCTAAACGAGTTTTTCACATCAAAGATATGATTTCTTCGGAGACCGGTACTTTTGGGCTGATGCAAATCCCCAAGTAAGTGAAGTGGTCAATACATTCCGCAGCTTCACTTGGAATCATTAAACTGGGATAACTTGCAGCACAACAGAGCCGGAGCTCCATCTTACATCTGATAGGTGCGAAAAGCAAGCCAAGCATACTCAGACTTCTGCTAAGCGTATTTAAAAGACTCACCATTTTCTCAGTCTTCACCTAGCGCGACAATATCGTCTGCATACTCCACGTCAACCAGATGACTTCCAGGGGGTAGGTTCATTCCACTGGACTCAGACGCACCTAATTTTATCTCCACTATTGCGTCTACGACAACGTCGAGCGAGAATTGTGACAGTAGCCATCCCTAGCAGATACCACTAGTTGTCGTCAATTCACATGAAAACTCTGTAAGCTTTTACATAGCTGCATGAGTTCGAGTAGAGAGCACTGATTAGCGTACTGCCTTCACAGTGAGACAATGCCAAAAACACCTCACGATCGATAGTAAAAGGACGCCATCGGGTCGAGAAATAAGGTGAGTGTCGGCCACTGGCCGGTAGGTATGCCTGTGTTCCAGAACCCGTCATGGGGTAAGAATTTGGTTGATCCACCGTCGTTCATGTCCATCCTGTTTGGTTTTCTTGGGTTCGCTATTCTCGAGTTCCACTTCGGCGTTGGATAACTATGAACGCTAGGATCTTGGACACATGAGTCAAACTAGTCCCCCTACGGTTGTCGCAGGAAGATTTCTCTGTCCTATAGAGTGTGACGATCAATGAAGTGTGCTAGTCTGACGACACTACCTGTGATTCCTATATACCACCTAGAGTATCTCCGTCACTCTTATCAAAAATTTTCTACCTCCATTGTTGAAAACTTTAGATGGCAAACTGTCTGGTCCTGCTAGTTTGCATTGTTTCAGGTTCGATGCAGCTTTCCCAACTTCAAGGAGAGTTGGATGACCGACAGCTACTGAAAGGTGTGCCGAGTAAGTACATCACCTTATTGAAGGCTTTGTACTCGAACACTTGTGCGCGTGCTAGAACCTATAGTGAGATGTCCGGGGAGCTGTGCTCGTTGAGTTGTGCCCGTCAAGGGTGCCTCACTCTCTCCATTCCTATTCAATTTTATCGTAGATATTCTTATGGAGGTCTCCCTCTCGTCACCTGACCACTCAGAGGTTGACCTAATCTCAGCAGTACTTTCGTTAGACGTAGAATATGCAGATGACGTAGTCCTGTTAGGTGAAGACGCTGACAAGCTGCAGAGTCTTCTAGACACAATTTTAGAGTGTTTGGGATGCGTTTCTCACCACCCAAATGCAAATTGTTGCTCCAGGATTGGTCTTCAACGGTGCCCCACAGTAGCTAACACTAGAGAGTGTAGTGGTTGATTGTGTTGACCACTTCACTTACCTGGTATGTGTGTGACCAGCTGTGGTGGCTGGCTCAGTACTCGATGAACTTTCTGTACGAATACGAAAGGCTCGGCCGTTCCTTATGGCAAACAGCTTCGGTGCTTGAGAGTTGAAGTTACCTGGCATCATGACTATATGCGAACATTTTACTTTCTGTAGCAAAACTGAAAGCTGGTAGGCTTTATCTTTTGGATCATCTGAACTATAGTTAGTGGGAGTATAGGCGGAGATTACAAAGAGGGATCTCCTAGCTGTACGATCCTTTCTAGTCCTTTCAGATCTATTCAATGGAGAAGCGCACTTTTCGCTCTACAACTCAATGCTGTGCCTACAGCATCGAGTATACGAGAGCTGACCATTGGGTCGCGGTATCCTCGTATAGTGGATTTTCAAGACCCGCTTCTACAGCCAGGTGAGGTTAATTTAATAACCTCACTCGGGTTATGTGTACGTGTTTGAGAGGCACATCACACCACCATGGCTAGAGATTTCGGAGTTCTGGCAAGCAATGCCTGTTGTTCGATTTCGCAAAGAGTTTGGGAGTTGAAAGCTCCTACATGAAGTCGGTGAGAATTTCGGGCTCTGAGTTCTTAGTTATTGTCGTTTCTTCTAGTATTTCCACTTCGTAAAACAACGCACAAAGATTTCCTTCTTACAGAGAGAATTCGAGCAAGGAAGTGGAAAAAGAACGCAATACCTTGCAGCAATGATGAAACCAATTTTCATCTCTTATAGCATTTTTCAAAGGTAGGCAGATAACCCCCACTCACATTGTGCCTTGAGCTATCGTAGCAAGATGGTTATTCAAATTTAAACCAAAATTTTATAGTTACACAAGTGACAGTGATTAAACCAGTGAACCACGGTATATCAATGGAAAAAGTGGCTTGTTTCAAAGAATTTAAGGTTTACTGTATGAAACAAGATCACGCAAGACACAAATAATACCATGTTTATACACCGTGGATCATTGATGTAGGGAGTTAACTTTCAATCAGTAGGTCATAGGTTCGAACTGTGGCACCACCTACCAAGGTTTGGGCAACCAGTTATAGTACCACTAACCATAACAGAATAGGTGTGGCTGGTCGCTTACTGCACAAATGCACACGTGACTTCCGAGTACATTTCGCTTTCGACACTAAATGATGCTACAAAATAATGCTTACTTTCCGGATATCATCATTTAAGTTAAACACATGCTGTTAGAAGATTAGCCAAAGAAAGAAATAATATTCGCATTACTGGTTCGATATGAATACAGTGGATAAACTTACGGATGCGTTTCATCTGGCTTCTGCAACGATGAATACAAACCATAGGCAACCAGAACCTGAAAAGTTTAGAAGAAATTACGATAAAACATCACAGGCAGAAAATATGCG